CAGATTATCAATGCAGATGCTGAGACTTATGGGCAACCTTTGGGCAGAGTGCAGGGAATCTTAGGAAAGAAATGGGAAACAGTAAGATCTGGAGAGGACAGGAACTCCACAAGAACAACAGAACCAAAAAATCTGAGCACAGGGGTCTTTCCTGAGACTGATACTCCAAGCAAGGACCATGCATGGAGATAACCTCAGACCCCTGCCCAGAGGTAGCCCATGGCAGTTCAGTGTCCACGTGGCTTCCACCGTGAAGGAACAGGGACGGCCTCTGACACCCTTTTTAAAGTTAGTCCATTGCATGTGTACACCACGTTTTCTTGTTTTGTTTTGTGTTTCTTGTGTTTTAAGATGGCATGGGATGAAGGGTCTTAACTGTGTTGCACAGTCTGGTCTTCGATTTTCAAGCTCAATCTATCTCCCTGCCGTAGGCTCCCAACTAGCTGAGTCCAGGCACGTGTCACTGTACTTGCCACATACCATGATTTCTTTATCTATTCATCTATCCATGGGCATTCAGAGGGTGTATCTTAGCTCTTGTGGATGTTACAGCAATTAACACAGAAGTAATATGAACCTTTTGATATCCTAATTTCAAGTGCTGTTTCTGAAATTCATACTCAGAAATGGAATTGCTTGGTGGTATGGCACTTTCGATCTTTTGGAAGGCCACACTACCCCTCACCATGGCTATGCAACTGTATTTTCCTCCTGATAATGGTGAGCCTCCTCTCTCTCCTCACTGCCAACACTTCTCCTTTTAATCTTATTTTCTAAATAACAGTAGCTATCCTGTTTTGAATATCCGGTTTTGAATTGCCAGTGTAAACAATGGCCTACAAACCTGTCAGCCTTTCTGCATCTGTCTTGGAGAAATGTTTCAAGCCCACTTGAAAATGGTTCCACCGTAGTTATCACTCTCAACTTGTAGGATCTCATTGTATCTTTGGAGATGACTCCTTACCACAAATGTGATTAGCAAGTGTTTTCTCTTTACTGTAGGCTGCCTCTTCAGCCTGAGTTTTCTTCAGCGGAAGGAGCTTTACAGTTCGGTGCACTGACTAATTGCCCTCACAGTCTCGACTTGGCGGAATATAAACAGATTCTCATGCCCGCACTCTGAGGCAGGACCCACTGTTGCCAAACCCAGGGCTTCCGAGAACACTTCCTAAAGACCCCCTTCTCTTCCAAGAGGCCTTTCAGGACAGCTTTTGCTTTCAAAGTGCTGTTCTCTTTCGACCTTCCTCTCACCCTCTGGCCAGTCTTTCTCTGTCTCCTTGTGTTTGACTGAAAGGTACTCAGTCAATCTTTCTCTTCTCATTGTGTTCTCAGTATTCGTTCTTTCTCTTTGCCTCAACTACAGCTCGTGTGCCCAGGAGTTCCAGATCTGTGTGACTCTTCTCCTCATCTCTTGTTCCCAGACTTTCGGTTGAAGCTTCTAGCTTTCTCGAAGCATCCTCAGGGTGCCTTAAATCCTTGAGTGCCTCAAATTCAGCACAGTCACATTCGGATTACACGTTTATCTCATGACAAATTTGATACCTTCCTTTCCCTCATCACATACATTGCCATGAAGGTCTGCTGGTCCTCACTCTAAAATGCCTTTTGGATACAGTATCACTGTTTGTTGTATCCACCACCACCACCATCATCACCACCTTCTCCACCACTACCATCACCACCTCCACCATCACCACCACCATCACCACCACCAGCACCACCTCCAGCACCAACTACTCCACCACCACCATCTCCTCCACTACCACCTCCACCACCTCCACGATCACCTCCTCCATATCCACAACCACCACTCAACCATTACCCCCTCTACCTCCACCATCACGTCTTCCACCTCCATTACCGTCACCACATCCACCTTCACCATCATCTCTTCTACCTCCACCACTACCAACATCACCTCCACTGCCACCACCACGGTCACCTTCTCCAACTCCACCACCTCCATCACCTACACAACCATCACCCCCTCCACCTCTACCACCATCACCTTTTTCACCTCCACCACCATTACTCTTCTACCTCCACCACCACCACCTCCACCACCACCTCCATGTCCACTATCAATATCACCACCTCCTCCACCATCATCACCAGCTCCTCTACCGTCATCACCACCTCCACTACCACCACCATCATTTGGCCCACAAAGACTTTCATCGGAACCAGGAGATGGCTAAATGAAGGAGTGCTGGGAATCCAACCAACCACATTTCATGTTTTACTTAATGGCTGGCTATATGTCCTGGGTCAGCTACATCATTCTTGAAGCTTTGTTTTCCTTCCTGTGAGCTAAATGAGACCAGTACTTACAACTACTGTAAGAAATTAGGTGATCTCAATAAAATGTCATTCACTTGGCACATAACACTCACTCAAAAACACAGACTGTGCTTTCCTTCCTGCCTGCCTTTAACTCATCTTCTGCATCCAACATGCATCAGCACTCACACAGTAACCAACACTGAAAAACTCAGTTACTTCTCAAATATGAAATTCTACTTATGTCATTCTTTGGTTAAAAATAAAATTTCAAAAAGCTCCACCTGACTATTTATTGCCTGTATTACCGAAACAGTGTCTTTAGTAGGATGTTAATGGTCTCAAGCTACCCTTGCACGTTACAGTCAACACTCACTGTATTTCCAACGTGCCTAAGATGCCTCGTTTTCGAGCCTTGGTGGCTGCAGCCACCCCATCTCAAGGTCCCTTTTTATTCCCAGCTGATGACGTCACGCTTGTATCTGCACAGTATCTGTTTCCACCAACGGATACTCATTCCTTGTCAGCGAAGAAATCCCCTTATCAACTTGGCACCACGTTCATTTGTTCATTCACCAAATATCCACTGAAACACAGGCACTGGGCTAGGCCCCGAGGAGACAGAGTACTGGGCATGCTCTCTAACGAGCACACAGCTGGGCGTATAAAGTGTAACAGGAGAATTTCAACAACGGGCATCAGACTATGCGGCTCATATTTGTCAAAATGCTGATGCCTGGGCTGACCAATGGGGGCGCTCATGCAATTAGCCAACGATGCTTTTTTTATTTTTATTATTATTGTTATTTTAATTTTCAATATTTAAATTTTATGTGTACGAGCGCTTGCTTGCATGTGTCTGTGCAGCGCTTGCATGCCTGGTGCCCCAGAGGCCGGAAAAGGGTGTCCGATCCCATGGAACTAGAACTGTGGATGATTGGAAGCCGCCATGTGGGTGCTGGGAACCAAGTCCCTGTGCTCAGAAAAAGCAGCTGAACCATCTCTCCAGGCCCAGTGATGCACCGTAAAATGTTCCTTGGCAGGCTAAGTGAATCAAGGGTTCCAAATCTCCCTCCGGGACAAAGCCGTACACAGATATCCATGGGCCACGTGAGACAAACATGGCGGCTCGCGCTTTCCTTTGTTCTGTGTCACCTATCTTCCTGAATCTGCTCAGGCGGTATCCTTTCCCACTGTCACTTAGAGGACACTGTCCTACTGTCATTCAAGGGTATGTTCTGGTGATTAATCTTATGATTTATTTAGGTCTAGAAAAAGGAACCAAGGGTGTGAAATTTGCTAATTCCTAGAAAGACGTGCTCTGCAGGTGGACACTCTTATGCCTGCAATGTGTAGAACTCTAGAAACAACATCTGTTCATGAACGTGACCACAAATCTTCTGATGCACCCATTGAGGGGTCCAGGGAAGCGCCATCGACACGCCATGAGTCCCGATGGCTTTGTTACTTGCTTTGGGCAACAGAACACGTCAGAAGTGATGCCTTTGCTACCTCTAGAGCTGAGTCTTCTTCCCTTGAATGCAGCTCCCAAAATGCCACACTCTAAGAAAAGTATTCTAGCTCTCTGCACACTGAGGTTGAGTGTTCACAAGAACACTGAGGATCTTCATCAACAATCAATGTCCATCTTGGACTGCACACCTGTTGTAGCCTGTGCCTTACTACTCATGAGCTCCACAAACCCACAGATGTGTAAGAGACACATTGCTGCAGTAAGCCATGAGGTTTCAGCTGCTTTGCTCTGCAGCAACAGTACCTGACAGAGAGACTATGCCAAGACATGTAAGACTTTATTCTGAGGACTCGCAAGGGTGACCTGATTAGACTCCTGTGCTAGAGAGCTGGCCTGGGTAGCAGCATGGAGAATGGCTTGGTGTGGTACAATGCAGAGGTGACAGGGCATATTACACTATGACAGCAACAGAGCTGAGGGGGAAAAAATCCAGGTATGATCCAAGAGTCACACAGAGGGCCAGCCACAGGATGCTGAATGCCGGAGAATGAAGAAGGAAACTAATTAAGAGCTACTTGGCCGGTTCTGGGCTAGGTGAACAAATGAATGACGGTGCCATTCACAAAGAGAGAGATTAGGAGAGGAAGAGAAAGGTGGAAGCAACCGAGGAACATCTAACAATAAACATTGAAAGTTAAGTTAGTGTAATTACTCTGGGTAGGTAGGCAAGTGTTCTGACCCATGGGGTCATCTTGATATGATGCGTAAGCGTGGCATATCGAGAGCTTCTAAGGCAGGTAAAGTTTTGATGGTGTGGACACATTTTGATATTTCATCAGATTAGAAAGGACTGAAGTTAAGAACTTCTGAGGTCTGAATGCTGACAGACCTCACACCTCTCAGCCTGTCACTCTTGCGTCAGTGCGCAAGGTCCCTCAGCAAAGTTACCGCCATTTGTAGCGTGTCCATAGGGTAGCTCTGGGGCACAGGTTCTCCTCTTCTCTCTCCCTCCCTCCCTTCCTCTCCCCACTCTCCTCTCCTTTTGTCCTGTATGTTCTTCTATGCCTACACCCAGTAGAGCCGGAAGTGGCTTCTTAATCCTAGAAGGAATGGAGATTATAGACTACAAAGAATTTGGAATTCTCCAAGCTGCACATTTCTGCAAGTGGGCACAAACTGTGATTTACCCATGTAATAAATCACACAAACAACCAACATTAATATGTACATATAAATATCGATTTACCTTTGATGTTGATTAAAATAGCAAGTAAATGGCTGGGAACCGATCTCATCTTTCCAATACTGTTGCCAGTTCATGACACTTTCCAAGTTCTTCTGGTTTTCTCTCTTACAGGGCGGGATATAGGAGCACTAATCAGACAGAACACAGAGAGTAAACCTATTATTCTATCGAATATTCACATGGAGTCCTTCTATTTCTCAGACGCTTTGTTTTATTATAGTCCATGGCTTGGGACTGATGAGAAGGCAGACATGATGGTGGCCATTATCTGGTTTAGCAGGGGATGCCCATCCCAGTGGCCACAAATGTACCAGTGTCACTACTGTCTGTCACGGGTCTCCCCATCTCTCTTGACCCACTATTTTGATCTCAAGACACAAAAAGGTTCTCAACAGTGCCCCAGACGACATGCTCAACAAACCATCACAAAACCACCTGAAAGTGGCTGAAGTACCTTGGCTAGGACTATACACGGGGAACCCAGAGTCGTTTTTTTGTCTACTGAGATGGGCACGTAGAGATAACAAATCTAATCTTGACATAATCTTTAGATACAACCAAATTAACACTGCTTAACTATATTTTAAATTTCCAATTTGGCACACTGGCAAAAAAAAAAAAAATACAGTAACAAAAATACCTTCAGTCATTAAGAAATAACATTTTTTTTTTTTTAATGAACAATGAGTTACTAGGTTACAGCAAATTGAAAATGTAATGCACCTTGTCTTTGTAGGGACCTGTAAGCCAACACAAAGACAAAAAGGGGGAAGGGGTAATTTGTGTTCCCGGTTCCTACCTGTGAGTCTCTGTATTTTCTTCTACTTTTAACTAACCAACAGCTCAAAGCTGCTCTTGGGATTCCCACCTCACCCACTTCAGTTTTCATTTCTCACATGCTCTTGAACAATGGAATCAGCCGAGATTCCTCTCAGTGTACTTTGCTCATGGCTTTCCTGGCCAGCAGCTGATAAAGTCAGTCCCTTGAAAGAACTCGATCAAGCAGTATACATTCAGCGACAGTGAGTAACTGCTCTTAGCCCCAGGTGTTCATATGTACCCTTAGTATCCAAAGCCACTTTCTCCAGGTAAGGTTTTTTTTTTGTTGTTGTTGTTGTTTTGTTTTGTTTTGTTTTTATGAAAATATGGGTTTCTACCAACTGTTAATAATAGGCCAGACACTCTAGCAAAGACCTGAGGAGCCTGAACTTGTGAACTTTTTACAGGCCCCTAGGGATCTCCATTTTACAGATAAGAACATCGTGATTCCTGCTAGCTCTGCAACCAGGCTCTAGTGATTCCATCGAAGTCTCTTCCGAAATGTTCACCATGACGTCTGACATCAAGGAACAGAAAGGAGAACCCTTGCTTTATAGTATGACTTTATTTGCACTAGTTTATTCATTCATTTTCTTACCGTTCATTTGCCTGTGTGTGTGCGTGTGTGTGTGTGTGTGCGCGCGAGAGCGCGCGCGTGTGCATATGTACAAGTGCATGCATACACATGTGTGTGCAAGTCCGGGGACAGCCTCAGTGTCCTTCGTCGGGGACCTTCCACGTTTGACTTAAGAGTGTCTCACTGGTTTGGGACTTTGCCGAACAGCCTAGATCAGCTTGCCAGTGCTGTCTAGGGATCCCTCCGTCTCCACCTCCCACTCATTATCACCGGGGTTACAAACGTGTAGGCCCTGGCCAGACTTTCCCACGGGTTCTGGAGCCCTGAGCTCACGTCCTCATGCTTGCAAGGCAGGTACTTTGCTGACTGAACCACCTTCCCAGCACTCCCCGCTCCCTCTGTCTTTCTGAGGCGGGATCCTCCTATGTAGCTCTGGTTGGAATAGAACTTATCACAATCTAGGCTGGCACTGGAGTCGGGGCAGCCCTCTGAGCACCGGGATTCCAGGCGTGTGCCATCAAACCTGGCCCGACTGTTTTATTTGCAGCGGCGTGCAGTTTCACAATACTTTCTCGCCATCACTTTCGGTCAGAATGCAAAACTTTGCTCGTGATGTGCACAGCTCCTCGGGCTTAACCCCTGCCTGCCCGCCCTCTCGGAATCCCGGGAGACAGCCTGATAGAAGCACTTGCTCCTTCAGTCTGCCACACGCTGTCACGCTTACCTCCGGTGAGTGATCTCTATCCCTAGTCACCCTCGTTCTCGAGCACTACCCATCTGTAGGAGCCTTCGTGTTCCACGTCAAATGTCTCTCCCCGTGTTGACCCAGGAGCTGAACCCACGAACTCACAGCTAGACTCACACAGTGGCACCCTTGTCTGCCTATGTCAGGCTCTCACTCTGTGACTGGTGAGTGGAGAGCAAATGCTGTTGGGTTTTTTTTCTGTATGTTCACCCTTGGGGATTATACATGGTCCTAGCAATGGTTTCAAAATGTTGACTGAGTGAGTCTATAACATACAAAGGCGGGTTTTACTCAAGATGATGAAGCTACTTTCCTCAGTTAAATGTTTTACATTATATGAATGCAAATACATGTCAAATTGTAGAAAATTTCATTATTCCCCACCATACAGAACAAATTCATGCTACATAAATAGGATTTTAATGGCTGAATAGCTGGATACTAATCCCATGCAGGCAGCTTCTCTTCTATCTCTGAGGGAACAGTACAGTTTTACGAAAGAGTCTGGATTCTGAGGTTTTTCTAAAGCTACAATTGGGCTTAGCAGCCACAGGTACCGGGACATGGGGCTTCAGTCTTATGAGTTATTTGGCATTGGGTCTGGGGTAAATTACCTTTTTCTGGGCTTCCTTTCTCCCCCCCTAGTCTGTACAACCTCCAAAATAATTTTTAGCTCCTGCTTCTGACTCTACTCTTGGAGGCACATCAAGAAACAAGCCAGCCAGAAACTGACTACAAATACTGTCACAGCATTTCCCCCCCAAAGCGAACCTGCCACTGGGGAGATGGTGAGGGAACTTGACTGAGCCTCCACTGCTGCTGGCAAAGAGGACCGGAATGGCAGGTCCCACTCTGGGACTGATAGATTCTTTACTTAGCAAATATTTGCAAGAAGACCATGGCCTTCCCATTGCTTACGTGGCAGATATGTCCTTCCCTTATATGAATACATGTTCTTTCTAGCCATGGTCAAAGTGCCAATTTACTGTGCTGTGCTCTTTCAAGGAAGGAGAAGGTTCCAGTCTTGGAGGCTGTATCTGTGAAGTGTGAACATCTAAGAACTCATCAGGACCCTGTCAGCAAGGGCAAGGGGCACACGACACATTTCAGGAGAAAACCAAATGCAGCCAAAACATACTTAAGACGTTCCTAACTTAACTCAGCTTGAATTCTTTACTATTCAGTTTTTGGAGTGAAACGGGTTTGAAAGACACATCTCTCTGCCAGATGGCAACTCCAAGGTTTGATCAAGGGAGTCACACCCAGGTTTCTGGAAACAACAGGGGAAAACATTCATCAAGTTTCATATTCGGCGAGCTGTGATTTCACATGGGATGAAGGAAGCGTGTGGCTATATGGGACTTTCAGCACATTGGATGGATTCTGAGGGCAAACTACCTTCTTTTCATATCAGGAAGTAACCATGAGTTTCTTTTCCCATGGACTCTGTTCTTTCCATGGGTTAGATGAGGAGTCTTTAACACTCTAGCCGATATCACCATGAAAGGAAGGGAAATGTTTAAAAGGCTAAACTTGGGTTCTTAGAAATCATTACATTTTTCATTCTCTCAAGTCTTGACTGCCTAGGTTATTTATCTCCAGATGTTTTGCTCTGTGAAGCCTATCTCAGATCCTTCCTACCATCCTTTCAGCTCTATGTAGAAGATCATCATAGATAAATAGAATTTTGAACTCCACTAAAAAGCAGTGTCTGGTGAGGAGGCAGTACACTGCAACCGTTTTTCACCCTGGGCCATCCTCAGAGAAATGCATTTCTAAGTCTTCATCCTGCCCCATTTAGCTTGGGATCAGTTTTGGTGGCATGGCTATTCTTTCGCTTAGGTGAACTGGTAGATAGAATGTCTTTGGTCACGTCAGACAATGAATGTTCCCTTAGAGAAACTTCTTCCTGTGGGTTCTGGCCTGTTTGGTTTTTTGCTTGCAAAGGTGGCATTTCCTGACTTCTAATCTCCTCATCACCCAAGTAGCCCTCATTTAGATCCTCACTCCTCCTGCCAGAAATTAGATGAAATTACTTTCCTTTTTTAAAAAAGTTATTCCCTTTACATCTCAGTCTTAGTCCCCTCCCTCCTCTCCTCTCAGTCCCTTCCCTTTGTCCCTCCCTCATCCCCCAACCCCCTCCTCTGCCCCTTAGAAAAGGGAAGTTTTCTGCCCCCTTTCTTTAAAAAGGTAGAAAACTCCACTCCAAGGAGGGGAGGAGAAGGAGCATCGTAAGTTCCCAGGTGCGATGATGCCGTACTCAGAAAGTATAGAGAAAAATGGTGTCACCAGGAAAAGAGGCCAAGATGAGCTGAACCCAACTCAGCTGGGGAATCTCCAGTCTGTGGTGATGGGTAGCCATGCAGAAGGTACAGGGCGCCTTCTCTTAAAACTTCACAAGCCTCAAAACAGATTTAGTTTTGGAGAGGTAGTGATTCCTCTACTAGATGGGTCAGTAGCAAAGAGGAATCCTTCTGTAGCCTGCCAGTATGTTGAAAGAGAACCTATTCACTCGAAGGCTAGGCACTTTGGAGGACATTGGGAATCATAACCAACCACAAGAAGGGCATCAGAATTGACTTTGCTACAGTTCAGCAGTAGAGCAACTTCTGTAGCCACTTTTACCACTAAAGAGCCTGGAGACCAGTCATCCACTCAACACTCACAGCTTCAACCCTCCCACAGGGTAATCGATACTTCAGAAATCTTCAAAGTGCAAAGATAGGCCGTCAACCTCTACCAGCTCTCAGTGCAGGGCCTGCTTCTCATACTCAACACAACTGGAGACACTGGGCGACTAGATCCTTAACCGCTCTGGGGAGTCCCCAAGAGCCCGCCTCACCAATAGGCTGTAGTTCTACCCGTGGCCAGCAGAGGCCCCTGGTGTGCAGATACGGAAAACTGTTGGGAGTGAAGTCCTAAGGCAGGCAGAGACCACACAGGCTCAACACCAACAAACCACAGCAGCCTGGAGGGGGTCAGCGGAG